TTTTTCTACCAGATGTTTATCATTGTTCATAGATATAAATTAGTAAATTCCTGTGATTTAAAACTCTTAATTAAACTTTAGGATATTTTCTTCTTTTAAAGTTTAATATAAAGTGATGAAAATGTATATATATACAAAGAAAAAGGTAACTAATTTTGAAATTACAATGCATTTTCTTGGCTCTCATCTGAAAAATATGGAATTAAATATTTATATCAAAACCAACATTTATTTCATTTATTTCATCAGTTATATTTGTGGCTAAGTAATCCAATCTTGAGACATTTTTCTAATTTATGTATGTAATTTAAGGAGTTTAAAATTTGCCTAGTGCCTATTTCAACATTTGTCACTTTATGAATTGTGAGGTGATAATATTTACATGGAAAGGAAGTTGATGAGTCATTATATTAAAGCCGTAATTATAAGCCATTAACTTGAAAGTAATAAGTATAACTTATCCTTTTGAAAAACTTTAAGAATCCCTAATGTAGTTCAGGTGAAAAGATTTTCTGTAGATGGAACTCTTCTGTTTCCAGAATTGCCTTCTACACTTGATGATTTTAAGTTTCTACTCTCTATAGCACCGTACTATCATTTTAATAGAACAGCAGGTGAAATCTATTATTTTTTATGAATTAGATTGGCTTAGTTTAGAATCTGTTCCTTAGAATTCAGTTGCATGCTTTGAGAATTTAACTCTTTTGTTTTCAGAGCCGTATTAAAATACAAGATTACTCCCCCCGCCCCCAGCATTGGAGTAGATTTTTGGTAAATAGAGATCAGGACCCAATTCTGGTTCCTTTCTGAGAGGCTTGGGCGGCTTGAGCGGCTTGGGCAGCTTGGGCGGCTTGGGCGGCTTGAGAGGCTTCCGCGGCTTCGGCGGCTTGAGAACCTTGAGGGCTTGAGAGGCTTCCGCGGCTTCGGCGGCTTGAGAGCCTTGAGAGGCTTGAGAGGCTTCGGCGGCTTGAGAGCCTTCGGCGGCTTCAGCGGCTTGAGCGGCTTGAGCGGCTTGAGAGGCTTGGGAGGCTTGA